AGCCGCACTTGGGGGAAGGGTTCTGCGCCGCTGGGCCTGGCTGGGGGAAATGTAGTGCATCTGCCACTCGTCCCCGGCACTCCCCAGGGACTGGCAAGTGGTCAAGGGAAAGGAGGGCCAGGAGGCGCCGTCTGGCCTGCCGTGGTGCCTCCGTCACCGATCCTAGGCTCACGGGTTGGTACTTTGGGCCGGTTTGGTTGCTCTGGACGAGGGGGGTCTCTTTCCTCTGGATCGGGGTCTCTAGGTACTCTCAGAGGGATGGGCGAGACTGTGATCTCGCTCTTGGAAGGACTTCTCCCCAGTGTCTGAGAGCCTGGGTGTTGCATGTGAGCTTGCCGTGGCTGCTGTGGTGAAGCACGGACGAGCTGGGTCTTCTGCGCCGCGGGGGTCGCACCTGGCACTCCCAGTTGAATCTCCGTGCCCCCTCACTGGCACTGTCGACGTTGTGCCCTCTTGTGATATTTTCTCTTCCTGTCTGTCCGGTCTCCTGCCTGTGTGTGTTGGCCTTTCTCGCTTGCTCCCTTGCGGTTAGGGGTTGTCTCCCCTCTCACTTTGTAGGTCTCTATGCTTTCCGTCTCTGTTTGTTTCTATGGACAGTCACTGTCCCGCCTCCACACCCCCTTCATTCTCCAGGCTTACAAGAACATATCCAAACACTTCAGCATCAGCATCCCAAATTTATTCTCCAGCAGCTGTGGCGGGGTGGGAGGGCTAAGGGAAGAGGAGGGGAGGAGGAGAGTCCCAGAGAGTGGCAGGCACTGGGGAGGGTTGGGGTGGGTCCGAGCCAGACAGGAGCCATGCACGGCAGGCAGGCTGCGGGGAGCAGTGATGGCTTCGGGATGGGGAAGTCTAGAACAAAAGCTGATTGGGAGCCGCTGGGGGAAGAATCCTCCATATATCCCAGAAATCCCCAGAGCACAGCAGCGGGACGTACTGGAGGAGGGGGGCATGCCTCCCACTCATCTAGAACTGGAGTGGAGGCGGTGGGGGGCGGGCCTCGGAGGCTGAGGGTTGTTCTGGAACCTGAGTCTGGAACAGCCAACCCCGTGAGGCTATTTCCCCAGGGGCGGGGTCTGGGGGGAGGCATAGAACTACCAAGATGGAGTCTCGAACCCCATGGAGTTGGGGATGGTTAGTGGTGTGGTGGTGTCTCTGGACCCGATTGGGGCAGAGTCCAGAATGCTAAGGTCGGGGAGAATATCGGGCTCCGCTCAAGTCTTGAACGCGGGACGGCTGTAGAGGCTGTATGGAGTTTAGAAGGCCAGGAACGCTCGGGAGGGGCGTCTCGAACCCGCGGGGGCAGAGCCGGAATGCTGGGGTGCAGGATCTAGAATGGGGCAGGAGGTGTTGAAGTGGGGGCTGAAGTGGGGGCTGCCGCCAGCACGGCGGAGGGGGCGTTGGAGACACCTAGTGGCGGCGGGTGAGATTACATGACGGGCACAGGCACTGGGCTGGTGGGGCTGCGGGCATCCGGATGCACGAAGTCGGGGTTCACGTAGGTAAAGCCCTGGAAATCGGCCTGGTCGATGCTGGCCAGGACTAGGCGGTCTGGAGGGGTCAACGCTGGCGCCGCCCGCGTGAAGAACTTGTCAAAGTTCTCGCCGCTGCGGCCACACTGTGGGAGACGTGGGGGAGGGAAAGTTAAGCAGCTCCGAGGGTTCCTCGGGTGCCCCTCTGTGTACCCCGGTCTCATCTCCTGTCTCGTGCAGAATCTCTATGCATGCTTCACGGTCTCTGCACCTCCTTTTGTAGGGGGCGGGAGGGCTCTGCAGAGGGAGCCCCACCCCTACATACAGGTATATTGAGACCCACAGGAACCCCACCCCATTAGGGACCAAGTTTTTGTTGCCTGGAGGGTGACTGACCGGGCGGGGTCTGAAAGGAGGTGGGATCTCCAATCGTTCCAGCCGTTCCCAGTCAATCCAGCGGAAAAAGCCATGTGCACGGATGGTAGGTTCCCCATCAGGCCCTGAGCCCAGGCGCTTCCCTGGGTGCTTGGTCAGGAACTGTGGGAAACACAGAGAGAGACAGATAG